AAGGAACTACCGGATGATATGACTCTCACGAAGCAGGACAGTTAAGATATAAGAATGATGATCTTCGTGAGATCTACGTAGAAGACAAAGAGGATGGCCACGTAGATGAAGACATCAATGGCCATCATGACGAACAGAAAAATCAGCCCAAGACTCAATCTTATCTGCTCTTCATTCAAGAATAGGTACTGGACAAGGTAGCAATGAATACTCTTCAATGAACTGAAAATGATGTGAAGAAAGTTATTCTATTGAGATTCGGACTTACCATTGGATTCCTCGAACTTCCAAAGACTCCAAGCTCCTCCAGCAAGAACCTGAAACGAGTGAAATGAAGACCATTCAAGCTTTGTCGTTCTCAACTGTTGTTTCCTAGTGTGTATTGACCGCTTGAGACCCCTGTTCTGATACCGAACTTCAAAACGAAACTGAAGTAGTGCTCCCAACTGAAATATTTTTGGAAAAAAACTCCTACCTAGTTCATTCTTCTTTTTTTTTTTCAAGTGAGCGGTGAGGTTGTCTTAGAGGACGGACAGGCAGGAGCTCTTAACTTTTCTCATAGAAGTTCTTGGTGACCTTTGTAGAGCTATCCATCCAAGTGAACACTATCATTCTCATGGGGTGACAGCCAGCGCAGCTTACGACCTTAATTCAGAAAGTCCTGAGCAATTTGGATTTGAATATTATGTGAATTCGAACTGACAAGTAAAAATGGCCTCAACCATCTGATCTCAAAGAAACAACAAACATTAACAAATTATTTATTTCAATGCGATGGAACTGTTTGACTTCCAGATGCATGAGCTACCAGCAGCCAAATTCCGCGAAGTTGTCTCCCAGTAGCGAAAGCCCAAACAATTCTTATTCTCATTCCTCATTCTTACCTGCTATTCATTCCCTTCAAAGACTTCTAGCAGGACAAGGTAGCAATGAATGCATTTGAATCCACTGAGAAGATAATGATTAGTTAACGATTAACTTTCAAGTTCCTGGGCTAAAATCTGAGAGTCCTAGACACTTCCAAGTCCTCGGATTCAGGTGAGATGCTGGCAGCAAACAACCCAGCCGTCGTTCGTTTGATCCTCTATCAAACAGTAGCAGATTACCTCCCGCTCGTGAATTCTAAAATAAAGCTATAAGCTCATTCTCATTCTTCCTGTTCACCTCCTACTCTCACACTTCAGGGACTTCTAGCAGGAAAAAGAAGCAGTGAACAGATCTGAATACTCTGAAAAGATAACAATGATTCGGCGGAAGAGGGAACAATTGACTTTTAAGTCCCTCAGCTGAAAACTGAGAGTCCTAGACACTTCATCTAAGTCTGCTTCCCTCCACTGCACAATTAACGAATAGCTCCCTTTTGGAAATCTGAAAAGACAGAACTACTTTCAACTGAACAGCTTATCTTACCTGTAACTCAGTTGGTTGAATAGGTACGGCACAAGGAAGAAGTGAGTTCTCTTCGAACAACTGAAAATGAAATGAAGTTGAGTTATTCAATTGAGATTGGGACTTACGATTGGATTTCAAGGGTCCACGCTTC